AATATAATATCCAGTTCACGCTTCGCAAATCACCAACGCATTTCGCAAGCTAAAACGTGTATTTATATCTGCTGAAAAAGTGAAAGATGAAATGGGTGTCTGCCAACACAGATTCTTTCCTCCTACATTATCCCCAGAGGGAAATAGATCACTTTTGATCTTTAATCTCTTTGTTTAACAGAAGTATTAAACATACTATTTCTTGTTGGATGAAACAAAACAGAAGTGGGAGGTAGGTGATCATTTAGAAGCCCTCGCATTTCTAATGTATTTGCTCAGTATGAAACAGAATGGACTTTTTTCCGATGTTAAATGTGTTTTCAAGTCGCTTTGGTATATAAATGATTGATCTATTAGTTCTTGTACCATTCATCGATTTCCGAAAGATAAAACTTACATCACTAGATGATATTCCCTCTTTAGAAAAGTTGAAAAGAAGTTTATTTTGAAGAAACTATGGATCGTATTTCTTTGAGTAAGAAGTATTTGTTCTAAGAACAATGACGCTATAATAACTTCTTATTCGATAAAACGGTAAAGAATGTTCTGGGAAAGTAATGATCTTCAAGCAGACTCTTACGTTTTTCTAGATGTGTTTTGTAATCTTAAGATGGAGTATGGTATTCTTATTCCACTTATTTTTTTCTCTGAACAAGAGACATTTTATAGTCATATATCTATTTCAGAAATTTATTTTATACAGAAAATTTTCAGTTTTTCAGTTAATATTTGTTATATTAGAGTAAAAAAGAAATCTATGTTAAGAGAAACACCGAACTTGACATTGAGGTGTAGTTTTTAATAAGCCATGTCCAACACGCAATAAGAGATCTGGATTTAAAACTGAATTCTTTGTTCATTAAATGACAGTGAAACACCATTTATACGTTTCTTAAGTATACCTCTTTTACATTATGTGCGTTTTATATCTATTCTGATTCTTGTGAATAGTAAAATATTACATTTATACGATGCATAACTTCGGTCAAATGTCACTTCTCTCCTGAAGAGCCTTTCTTTTAGTTTCATCAGCATTGTCTTTCACTGGTAGTATTTAAAAATTGTACAAGGGGAAACAAGGAGGGAAAGCGAAGTTAAGGGATATTTCAGACTCGTACGGAGTTTGAAATTGGATTGGTGGATGAAGCATCTAGAGATTTAAAAAATAAATAAATAAAATAAAATAAAATAAAATCTGCTGACCAGACAAGTTTGTTGGTGAGAGACGCTTCATTTCTCTCTTGCTTGATAAACACTAATTTTAAGTGCGACTGCTATTTGCACTTTCCGCTCATTTTTAAACTTAACATACTGCTGAAATGTTTAGAAAATTGTTCTCCCACCTACACGTATACCAATCTGTCTGCTCCGTAAATTTGAGAAGAAATTGAAGCAGTTAGAAGAGTCAGTGATCATATCTGAAGTTCAAAGCCCTGAAGAGTTTATAAAGGATAGATAAAAGTGGAATTGTTGAAAACTAGCTATTCCTGTGTTATCACTGAAAACATTAGTTTGCTCTAAGTACAAAGAAAGCATTAGGTTTTTATAGCTAAAAACTGTGAAAAACCATATATACATTTCTCAGGTATACATCTTTTACATCTATACGACTTTCATATCTATTCTGATTCGTGTTAATAGTAAAATATTTCATTTAGACGATGCATAATTTTAGTCATACGTCACTTTCTCCCTGATTAAGAAGAATTAAGTGAAAGATGTGATAATAGTATTTGTTCCTAGAACAAACTCTACTATCATATCTTAAAATAGAATTTCGAATATTCATTTTTCTCATTTTTTATCTTTTTATTTCCTTGTACGAACTAACGGAAGTATCGGAATCACGAAAAATTTCGGATATAATTTTTCAACAGAAATATCCATTTTGACTGTTACCGAATGGGTTTCGTCAAATTTTTTTTTCTATGACGTCTGTTCATACGGGCAGAATAAAAAACTCTGTTATCCATAACGGATTTTTAAATGGATTCAAAAGAGAATTTTTTGTGCTGTCTGTACTTACGTACGTCCGTATGTATGTATCTCACATAACTCAAAAACAATTAGCCATAGAACTTTGAAATTTTGCATGTGAGACTGCTACAACATCTAGTTGTGTAACTCCTTTTTTTATTGCAATCGGCAGTACCAAATATATATATATATATATATTATATATATAATCTGCAGTATATTATGAAAAACAGACTAAAAAATTAAGAAAGTTGTGTTGATTTCGATCCAACAGTTGTGAAATATGAATAGTCGCTGGTTTATGAATGAAATATGTTCATCGAAATATCTTTTGCTCGGTTTTGTATTTGACACTGCAACTGGTCGGACAGTAACTCTGATTCCTGATGGAAAGTTTAGACACAAGAACAACAATGATGTTCATAATAGCAAAGGTTTTTACAGGAAATTAATACAATAATAATAATTTATAGAAACTGCTTTGCTCTATACTATTTTTTTTAAATTCAGACTAATCAGACTTGAAAACAAACTTATGTAGAATTTTAAGAAAAGAAAGCAAAAGAAACTACAAAAGCAGATAGTATAAATTGGAATAGAAAGAGAATTACGTTCTGTACAGACTGCAAGCTTCAGCTGCGTTATATTCTACAACTAAGTTGCTTAGGATTTTTAAGTTTATTTGATTTTACGTTTTGAGTTACGTTTATTTAGTCACCAATGAAAGTTTGTTGTTTCTTTGTAGCTAAATTTACTTAGATTTTTGCCAAGGCTGTTTGTAACTGCTGTTGTTATCACACAAAGTTCGAACAAAGCTTGCCAGCTTTATGTTATTTTGTAGCTGGCGAGCTTCTCTTCCTTTAGTTATTATTATGGCAGCACCGCTTAATTAGAAAAGAATTATTATAGAAATAAATACTTCCACGAAAACTCCATATCATATTTTCTACTTGCAAGAAAGTTCGAAAGCCTGTCATACATAAAATATTTTCGGCTTGTGTGACATCGTGCATTGTAAATTATACTATCAATCTAGGAGGAAGGTTACAAGCATAAGGAGAAGAGATGTTTGCCGTTAGGAATTTACTGTTATATCCACAAATTATTATTTTTAGCTTCAAGGTATCTGTCGTTCATCTTCTGATAAATCTTTTTCTTTGAGAAAATATTCTTCAAATTCGCTTTTGCTGTAGTTATCTCAGCGCTGCTCCGGTCTTTCTATATTTTATTATAAAATATTTTTTAAAGAATGATAATTTATAGATAATTAATATGCCTCCTCGCCGTTGCGTGAGCGAAACGAAATGAAAACTTCAGGAAGTAGGAAAACCTATACGAAACGAGGTGGTAAACACAATACGAAAATAAGTTTCTTTTTCGTCAGATTGATTGTATGTAGCTTCCGACCTTCGAACGAAGAGTAATGACCCACTTTCCTAGATAGCGCGGAATTTCCCCAGCTAGAATGGTTTTGTTTTGACAAGGGTGTGGAAAAGATGGGGACCACGTAAGGGTGCCGTCGACCTTTGGAATCTCAGAATTTCTATGTCATGTCAACGCCTGCTTTGCTTTCGATGCTAATAATGAGAAATTTAACGGGATAATATCAATATTCTTGCGTTTGGGTAAAAGAACATTTAAGGGTACAGACAATCAGCATCATTTGTTTTATATAAAAATTAATATTTCCGTTGGATGATATGTAAAAGAATTATTTAGAAATTATATATTATCAGAGGATTTTCTTTTGAATACATATGTAAGTAAATGAAGGATTCTTTATAAATATGCAATCAGACGACTGATGAAAATATTATTTATAAATGAGTTAATCTGAGCAGCTAATCCACAGGGTATTTCATTAATAATTTTAAAAAAAATGTTTCATCTTTATATGTGAAATACATAATCTGTGTGTACATATCCATGTTTCATCTTTATATGTGAAATACATAATCTGTGTGTACATATCCAAGTGATCAGAAGGTTGTTGATGCGTGTTCCTTGATCTATTGCACCAAGATATTTTACTGTACATTTATTTACACTTAATTTACAAGCCGTATGCCACCTGGCATGTTTACAAGCGTTATGCCTCCTGGCATGTACATGAGACACATATTCTGCCACCTGGCATGTAAATTGATACATCATACTAGTTTTCTGCCACCTGACAGATACGATGCAATTACCTCAATTAGTGGTAATACGTCCGACATTTTGGCGCGTCCGCTCCCTTTACGTTATGTAACGCAACTAACTCTTTGTGCGGTGCGGCCTCTGGCTACAAATCACCGCAATCACTGAGGGGGCCAAAACATCGTGTGTGCGTGTTTTTTAAGAGTGTGTTACAGTTAAAACATCGGATTTGCTTTCTGTTTAAAGCATTGGAAAGTATATCAGAAGCAAAAAGGCCATAATTGAATCAGAATGTATCTGAATCGTCTCAAAAAATCATTTATGAATAACTCTAGGTTTTTATTGAATTAATCAAAAATCGTATATGAAACTGCTTTAATTAATTTTTTTAAATACCTACCGGTTAAAATTCAGACAATGGAGGTCCCCTTTTCTGCATGAAACAAAAGTATTTCGCCTGACAAAATATTGTAAATCTTTGAAGAAAAAGGACCTTCATTGCTTAAGCTAGAATTTTGTGATAATATCAAACTAACCATTAAGGCTCGAATTTTGCCTAATTTTACGTTTAAACTTTGGCGTTAAACGTTTCATATGAAGTAGAATGTAAATGATGAATAGAATGTATGAGTGAAATGCTTAAAATTGAGTTTTGCTGTTGCATTAAGCTATATTTTATCAGTCTGATAAGTTAAATAATAATATTTTCTTTTGAAAACGTACTGTGTTTTTATATCTACGTAGTAGAAACTCCAGAATCGTGAGTTTGTTTTCAGCGATTAAAAAAAATCAGCAATTTCCGAATCTGTTTTATGTAATATGAAATTGTATTAGACGAAATGGGCGCTTTCATTTGTAATTTTTTCCTTCTCTTTCATTTCTAGACACCTCTGACAATGATTTCCTTCCCTCCGTATCCCCTGATCATCTCTTGTCTGATGGTGGCCTGGGTCTTGCCATTGACTCAAAGTACAGATATCGATTTCGTGTACCACAATTACCAAAGTATGACATCTGTGCTGCATCAACTGGCTAATGAGTATCCACAATTAACGAAGTTGTACTCAGTTGGTAAATCCACTCAAGGTAAATAAATTTATATTTATCATTCATAAGATAGTATGATAAATGTAGTTTTATTTGTTATGAAATCAGTAATATAAAAAAATTACTTGTGTGGTTAATACAAATCTTAAGTCTAATGATGTTTGAAGTTTAAAAAAAGAGCGTTAAAAATTGCCAAAAAAGATTTATTTTTAATATTAATAATATTAATATAATAATTTTAATTAATATTATATAATTAGAGATATGATATTTATTTTTAATATTAATATTGATGATGATATTTATTTAATATTAATATAATTAAGATGATAAATTGGAACAAACTATTATTATGACTATTAAATATTAGGCAAGCTTTGACAATTAAACCAGCTAAGAAGCTCCAGCTATAGCTGAATAATCTAACAGAATAACGTTCCTAAAAACAGTCTTTTGATTTACGTATTAGTAGCTATTTTCGTCATTTCTTAGAACAAGACATGATACTTGACTGAAACTGTACTTGATACACTCACACCCACAGTTGTGGTGTGTTTCTCTTTTGTTACATGCCGTTTTGATTTCTTTTATTTGGCTAAAGATTTCTTAATTTTTTCTTGATCATTACATACTTCTTATTCACTGTGTTACTATCCCTTTATGATTTCTCTTATGTTTAATATTAATAGGAAGCAATTTCATTCGTAAGTCCTGTATGGAAGCATCTCATCTAAGGAAGAAAATCCTCACATATATGTGAGGATACGTTGCTTAATCTGTTAACTATGTAAAATTGCTTTGCTTAATCTGCTAACTATCCGTTTGCAGCAGATTCGAAAAAATATTATGTTCGTAGACAATGGAGTCGAAATTAACAGCCACAGATTTTGGAAAATTGTTTTGACCATTCCATCTAGCGTTTCTATAACCATACTTGGTTTTCATATGTAGTCGTAAAGATATGCCTAAGAATAAGACTGAGCTTCAGAAATGAATGACTCGTTTTCTTGATTTAAACATTTTAGAATTAGATTTTTATCTAGAGTGCTACGGGGGGTTTCTGTTTCCCTTTTCATGACTTATTCTGAACTATTAGGTTTTGAAGCAGGAGATGTGAAAAATGTGCGATTCCCTCGCCAGGCACTCGAACCTGGAACTCGCGAATACGCGTCGAGCATGCTTCCAGTTACACCACGAAGGCATGCTGGAGGGAGGAAGAAAATACCTTATATACTCCCCTTTTAAAGGGCGACGCACTCACCAAATCCTGGTGGTGACGAATTATTGTCCACCACCTTTTAGTTCGGGAGCCACTGTAGAATCATTAGTTATATATATATATATATATATACATACTATATCTATATATTATATATATAGATATATAATCATTAGTATACATATATGAATAATAAAATTCCATAGCACGATACCTTAAAATTCTAACTGTATGTTCTTTTCATTTTTTAATGGCGACGGTCCTTATTTGAAAGTACGTGGAAAATCCCCAGCCCCGTAGTCAATTGTTTTTCCGCCTTTTCTACACGTACAGTTATAGAATGTTCTCAAGATATTAAAGCGAACTGGATGGCTAACGAGGCTTACGTAGTTCTTGGAAGCTCCGCCTTTCCAGAGGCTATAAAAGGATCGCAAAGAATATGGGGTTTCTTTAATGTAACGATGCGTAAACTTCATGCAAAAAGTTATTATAATTATTTTATTTACTCCGGAAATATGATTTTTTGTAACTGCTATTTCTCCTGACCATAAAAATGATCCGTTTAAACTTATCGTCTGATAATTTAAGCTACGACTACATCTATTTTTCTTCACCAATCTATTTATTCCGGACAAAAGCTGGTACATTACATATATATAGATAGATATAAGCAGGAAATGTGAAAAATGTGCAGTGCCATCGCTGGGACTTTAATCTGGACCTCTCGAATACGCTCTGAGTGTGCTACTGTTTCACCATGGAGGCGTGAAGGAAGGAGAAAATATATTATAAACAAAAAGAGGTATTTCGGGACCAAGAAAACTTTAATCTTTCGCTGAAGATACTGCAGCAATCGGCAAGCTCATATCAGACAAGACATATCAGACAGCTTAATATAACTCATCATCTGTAGTTGCTACAAAGAAGTCTTTTGAAGGCTGTAGAGTTGCGCGCCTCCAACTTGCACGCAACCAAGAGGTGACTGGAAAAATGACAGAGTCTTGCTAAGGGTTTAAGTCCCTTTTTATTCAACTTAAGAAGTTACAATTGCGTGCTCTTGACGCTCACAAACTACCCCGACTCGGCGGTAAAAAAAATAAGAACTGAAAAGAAACTAATAACAAGACTCTAACTACGAGGCTCTCTAAAAGTAACTAACCTCACCGCGTTTTACATACCGCTGCTAATTCAGCAACTTGAATATCCGTTGAACGATTAACAATTCTCCAAGGCAAGCACACAGTCCGAAACGCGGGGTTCTTCATTTCTGGCTAATACCTCGCGCTCGTGAATACGAAAGCACACTTCGACTCGTTTCCTTTCTATTTAATCAGAATACTTCCGCTGATAATTTGAATCCTTGCGCGTTCTACTAAAATTTACATACTCTGGCTGGCAGTTCCAGGGGAAAGTAAGGCTTGACAGGAAAGATATTTTAACTTAAAATAAATGTTAGTTAAAATCCCATAAACCCTACATTTGCCGCTGCCAGAATTGGAAACTTGGAAGCGTCCTAACAACGACCTGTTGTAGTTTCTATATTCTGAACTAATTCGAGAGCCCGTTTACACAAAAAAATCTTATGTAACAATTATATACTAAATTCTGTCGATACTTTAAATTCTCTTCTTACAGCACTTTTCCTGGATTATCAATCAATCTTGTTTCCTTCCAGCATCTGGAAAAACAACAGATGTACATAATGACTTTCGTCAAAACATAGAACTTCGTATTTATGCATAACATTTCGGAACAAAAGAGAAAAAAAAATTATAGAAGATTTTAACTATCTTTGAGTTTTCGATATTGAAACTCCGTCATTCTTTTGGCAATATTGTTCCCATAGTAAGGTTCATGACGTCAATCTTCTCCTTACTGACTCCGAGTGTCGTCCACATTCTTTTTCTTTGCGTCTCTGCATGCTGCCTCTTGGCGGAGTAATCGTCGGGTTGTTGTCTTTCGTTTTCCCTGGGACGGCTGGTTGACGTCTCGGTCTGGAGTCCTTCTTGAATTCTTCTGTTTTCCTGGCATTTTCGTTCCTCCTGCTGCCTTTCAGTTTCCGGAACGGCGGCCTTGCTGGCACCTGACTCTCTGGCCCTGGGAGCGTTCTCCTGATGTATAATTCTCCTGCGATCCGTTGTAGGTGTGTTTTCTCTTTACCACGGTTTCTTTACGGTCATCTGCATTCTTGTTTTTCTTAAATGCTGGGTTTGAAAATTATTTTTTCTTTTTGATACCGTCGTCCGGGTTGTAGAAGGGCTAGGTCTCTTTTCAGTTCTCTGTTTCTTGGGTGGGGAAAGTTGTTATTCTGGGTACTTCTACTTCGTTTAGGCTTGAGTCCTGCAAGAAACTTTTAAGGATTTCAAAATCATTTGGATTATATATTTTTTCACCTGTCGGGACTTGCTTTACAGATTCCCTTCTCTCGTTCTTAAGATACATACGACTCCTTTGATTTCCTGAATTACATAGGGGCCTTCAAATTTCGGAGCCAATTTTGTAGCGAAATTGTCTGGGGCACTTGATAAAGAAAATTTCCGCTTTAAGACTTTATCCCATACTTTAAAATCTGCTTCACAGCGTTTTCGATTATAGTAAAGTTTCTGTCTATTTCTTGCCGTATCCGAGCTTCTAACCGCCTGATCAATAAGTTTCTGCATATCTTTTTGTTTGAATTCTAATTCCCTTTGTTGCACAAAGAATAATTTATCTAGTGGCGTAATTAACTTACGTCCTAAAAATAATTCTTGCTGGAGTTTTTCCAGTAGTATCATGATTTGCTGTTCTTAAAGCCATAAGCTAATTCATTTATGTAGCCATCCCAGCGCTTGTGATGTGTGCTCACGTAACTGCGAATTATTTTTACTATTTTTAATTCACTCTTTCTGCTATGTTTGCCTGTGGTCTATACGGAACCATTTTGATATGGCGTATGCCAAGTCCATTGCATATTTTTCAATATTTGGACTAATGAATTGTTTTCCGTTATCGCTAATGACTTTATCGGTGCACCGTATTTTAAATGTTCTGTGTAAGAATGCATCTGCGACTGTTTTGGCTGACGCGCGTTTAAGTGGAACATTTCTGTCCATTTTGAAAAATGATCTACTATTACTAAAGAAAACGATTTTTATTTAACTCACTCTGGGGGAAGGGACCAAGAAGATCTATGCCTAAAATTTCATTCGGAAATGTAGCGCGAATGCTATTTAAGTACCCGGCCGGGCTGTAATTAATATCATTTATTAACTGACATTGATTGCAGGACCTGGACATACGCAGTTACTATTTTGTATATATTGCGGGAAAATATACCGCCTCGCGTCCTTTTTAAAGTCTTTCTGACCCCTAATGACCGCTGTTTTCGCGTCGTGTGTAATTCTTCAAAATGCTTAATCGAAGCGAGGCTGGGATGACTGGTTGTACTCAAGATTTCGTTTGTTGTTTTCGTATAAATAATAAATTATCTATTATTTCATAGTTTTTTCTGCTCTATTTCTTATCGCATCGATATCTGTGTGCTCCAAGCTTTCGGGGTCTTTCAATATGCATAGATATTTCCAAATTCAGGATCAGCTTTCAGTTCAGTAATAATGGTTCTCTTAGAATCTAAAATTTTGAAGTCAACACAGCGCATTTAAGTTCATTTCCTTCATCGTCCAGTTTTATACGAGAAAGTGCGTCAGCTACATTGTTTTCCTACCCGGTTTATATTTTATTGTGATATTATATTCTTGGAGTTTTAAAAGCCCATCTTAACCTGGGCGTTAGGTTTTTCCCCGAGTAAAGTCTACCAACAGCCGCATGATCCGAAAAGACT